ACCGGGATACAAACCGGAGGAGCGAGGCATGGAGGGAGGTGGCAGAGACAGTGGGTGAAACTGGTAGGTTTTCGCCTGTTTGGGGATTTTATATCCAGTTTACTTCGTTTTAACATTGCTATTGCTTTGTATGTCGGGGGCGGGAGATTCATGTGATTGGTTGTTGCTCGCGTTGCTCGCAAAAAATCCCCAAGCTTCAGATACGCCCACCTCCAAGTGTCAACGCACGCTGCTGTGTGGACGCTCCGTAAGACTTATGTATCAGACTTGTTGTTACTTTTTCATTTTGCAAGAGGACTTTGGGAGTTCCTATTTACACTTGATGCCGTAAGGAGCTAATATTTCTAAGTACATTCTGATTCCTTTCTTCTCTACTAAAGCCGTTGACAGCTGGAGTTACGACACGGCTCACTCCCACATTATTCCCTGATATTACGGCACAGATCTGCAGGATCACCTCCAGCTCTGCAGGCGTCCCGCTGAGCGTTGGATGTTTGAGACCACAGCAGACAACAGGCAGGACTTGAGTCCAGCTGATCTGACAGTACGGTTAATATTTCAGTGAGGAACTCCTCCACAGCGGAGCGCAGCGTGTCAGGGCTCATCACATCGCTGAGGAAACCACTGAGATCTCTCTAAAGTCTGTAAAACACTGACAGGCTTCACTCAGACTGCTGAGGAACCAGGTCTCCTGCAGAGTCACTGTCAGAGCCTGCAGAGAGGTTATATTGAGCATGAGCACCAGGAGAGACCAGCAGCAGCTAACACACTCTTTTGTCATTCATTACTGGCTGCTTCTTCACTACTTGTACATGTTTACTTGCTCTTTAGTGCTGCTACAGTACTTATTGTTTACCATGAATGTGTACTTAGTTGATTTTACTTTGTTGACATGTTCTTGCCCCTTTATTTGATATGTTAGTCCTTATTGTTTACCTAAAACTGCACTTACCACCTCTGTAACAATGTAAATTCTGCCGCAGTGGGACAAATAAAGGATTTCTGGTTTCTCAAAAAAGGTCAAATCATAAAGTGAAATACAAATCTATTAAAATGTTGTAAATGTCAAAGCTCCTAAAGTTTGGAACTTGTTTACACACCGCTGCATGTCCTGCTGCTCACTTTGTGAAATGACAGTTCACTAAGCTCCTCCGCCGGGACAGCAGGTGTGTCCGTGTTTCTCTACATATTGAATTATTGAACTAAGAGAGATCATCTGTATAAAGAATTTGGAGGGTTGAGTCTTTATTTAGGCTTCACAAACACACAATAACAGTGGAATAAACTAAGTCTGCCGCAACATAGACTATGACAATAACATTGCTCGCTAGATAGATTTTATTTCCCACATTTTTGATTTAATAATCTCAGCTAACGTAAAAAAATGTTACCCCATTAATTGGCAACCTAGAAATGTTGACATTTTGAGTTTTTTCTCTGAATATAACGGGACTCTCAAAGCTTTGAAGTCTATATATTGTGTTCCCACAACAGCCCTTATATGCTGTCAAAGACATTAGCCAAACAATACTCTAACAGTTTCTCAAACTTTTTCATACCAAGGACCACTTAACCAATAAAAAAACACTCGCGGACCACCTAACTCCACAAATATCAAAAAACACATCGTTTTTCTAGAACAGATTACAAATCGCCTGAAGATTGTACAAACAGGTGGCAACATGTGTGACGAAGGTGTTGTGCTGGGCTATATCATGCAATCGAAAGTGAAACTTAACCTCACTCCATTGCGGAGATATTCCCGCGATAGTGCGGAAAACTTAAATGTATTTATTTATTTAAAATGTGAAATTGTACCAATATACGCACGGACCACCAGGGGGCGCTCACGGACCACCAGTGGTCCGCGGACCACACTTTGAGAAGCACTGCTCTATAAGGAAGAAAGGATCTAAGGAAGTTTACATTACAGCCAACTATGCTGGAGAAACTATTACAACACATCTTATGAACTGTATGCAACTTAAAACAGTCTGATCTTATAATTGTTTCTTGTCATACTCATGATACTAGTACTATCTAACTAAGTGATGGGCTACTTGTTTCCAAAATTACTTAAAAAGTTCATCGGAAATCTGCTTGTGTTATCGTTTTAATCTGTTAATGTGTCGCGCAACAATCTTCCCTTGCATGGTGAAATATGTTATAAATATCTGTGGTGTCTTTTAGTCTAGTGTGATAAAACTGGTCACATAACTCCACATGACTCCTCACATGATTGAGGTATTATTATCTTGATAAAGGAGGATGTTCAGCCGGGAGCCGTGTGTCACTCTGGATGAGGTGTGTTTGTGTAACTGTGGGAAAATGACACCACCTGCCTCCCACTAACGGCTGCAGATGGAGCAGACAGATGGAGCAGGAACACAGCGATGCAATCAAAGCTAACAGTTCAGATAACAGAGAGGAAAAACCTCACATCGCTCTCAGGTGGCTCTTTAAAAACAGGGACATCAAACAACATAAATGAGTCAGGATACATCAGGAATATTTTGGGACATTGGTGTTAAAAGGGGATATATTATACGTCATGACCCAAATCTTGCCATTTTATGTGGTGAGAAAATGTCTGACTGTTCCTTTAAATGTGTTTTTTAGCTGTTGCAGAAGGTGAGTGGGAGGATGCTGAGGATGTCTGATAACAATGTTCAACAACGTCAAACAGTCGGCGTCAACTCTGATCTCTGCTGAGCTCCAACTCATCTGCTGCAGAGACACAGATCAAATCTTTAGATTACTCATCAGACGCAGGTGGAATAAAAATAAATGACCTTCAGTGGATGACGGGTACTGATGTATAAATAGTTCTCTTGCTGTGTGTCTGTCTCTCAGTCAATTCTGACTTGTCTCGTTGGTGAAGAAAACAAGCGTTGTTAAATATAGATGAAAAAAAACATCAATTGTTTTCAAACGGGCAGATTAATACGGAAAGTAATTTGCAGTCAGACTAGATTTTCTATTTAAAATGTGGATATATCTTTTCTTGATTTTAAGTGTTCAAAGTTATATTTAGCCTCTACTAAATATGTTTAACTGTTTAACTGCCACCCAGTGTCACCCATGTTACACATCTGTATAAAAGACATCCATTAAACACTGCTTTGATTACACATGGTTTGATAAAAACAGTTCACATTATGTCAATTGTACTGGAAGAAAACACAGATAAATGAAAGGAAGCTGATTTAATGGGATAAATCAATAAATGGATACTTTAGGACACACCACTCATGCCCTTAAAGGTCCCCGACCCCTATCATACTGTTTTTCATTAATATATTATAGGTCTCAGATATATACAGAACATGTCTCTGAGGTGTTTGGCTCCAAACACCAAACAGATCATTGCAGCATCCCATAATCCCCTCGGTTTCAGCCCTGTTCCAAAAGTGCTGATTCTGTGTCTATAGCTTTAAATGCTAATGAGCTGCTGCTAGCCACGCCCCTCTGAGAGCTGATTGGTTTAAAAAGAACACAATGTCGCTCTCGGAGGAGATTCAGGTGATAAGGTGTGGGAGGGGGGGGGGGTTACCTTGGTTGGTGATTGGCTAATGGTTACACAAGCTAAAAAACATTGTGACATCACAAAGTGGCCAAAATCTGATCAGCTCATTTTCAGACAGGTTTTGATAGAAATGGATCAGGACAAAAAGAGAGCGGATCTTTTTTCCTGAAACTTTCAGAATGTCTTTACACAGAGGGGACACATGTTGATGTAGAGGAGACATGAAGAAGTGGATTTTGCATAATAGGTGACCTTTAAGTTTCCACTAGTGAAAACTCGTCACATCCTCAGTGCGTGTTTCGGCCTGATAATGATGTGTCAGGGTCTTTGGTCTGAAAGCAAAGTTTAATTCTGGCCTGTGATCCAGTTACTCACAGAATCAGCATTACTCAGTGACAGCTGAGCTGCTGTCGGCTGTAAGTGAGAATCTGCTTCCCTTCACTCATCTCTGATAATGAGAGTCAGAGTCAGAGGCTGGTTAATCTGTGAACTGTTAGTGTGAATTGCAGACTTTTGAATATGTATTTATGGTCTTCATGAAAGTGTTAACAGGCTTTTTTTCAACGACTGCGACTTCTACTTAAATGTTTCACTTGTGTTCTGTGCAAAGCAAACCATTGAGAAACTCCCTCTGGACGGAACACATGGATTTGAGCGTTTGCAGACCATTTACAAAAACCTATATGACACACTACAGGGCCCCTTTAACTATTTTCTGTGGCATTGATAGAGGAGCCTGAGACTGAAGATTTCCATTGCCAATAACAATGCTATGACCATTGTGTACATGACAAATAAAGCCTATCAAATGCACGCTAAAGGCTCTTTGACCATGTTTTCTCTTAGTGATTGTGATGTTATGTTAAATGTTTGTTGTTTGTTTTTCATGTATTGTGTCGGGATATTTGTCTGTGTTGATGTTACACGTGGAGCTGCTGTGATGCAAGTCACATTTCAGACTTGATCTGACCAATAAAGTATTATCGTATCCAGGGGCGGTTCTAGGGGGGTGGGAGCCAACAGGGGCCAGTGCCCCCGTAACACTGACCAGGGACCCCCCTGTGGCCCCCCTCCAAGAAAAAGGTTACAATATTACGATTTATTAATCTGAGACCCGGATGTACAGTGGAGATTAAACTGTTCATTACCTTATATAAAATCAAATACTCTTTATGTTTTTGTTATTAAATTGTCACTTAAAGTTACTAAAACCAATACTCTAAATGAAAAGAACTATTGAAACAAAGGATTGTAACTTACATTTACAAAACAAATACCAATTACTGTATTTTATGTTCAATTACTTTACTGTCTTTGTCTTTGTAACCCGCTTTTAGTGTGCCCCTCTCATTAAATAACTGGCCCCAGCCTGTACAATTGGTCTAGAACCGCCACTGATCATATCGTATCGTATCGTATCGTATCGTATGAATCCTTTTTGGATCCTTTGATAACTTGAAGGAATTGTACTCACATCCGATCATCATCATGGCCACGGCGAAGATCTTCTCTCCGTCCGTGTTGGGCGCGATGTTCCCGAAGCCGATGCTGGTGAGGCTCGTCATGGTGAAGTACAGCGAGGTGATGTACACCGAGTCCTTGCTGGGCCCGCCCTCCCAGCGGCCGGACCCCGAGGCGTTGAACCTGTAGGGCGTCCCGACCGTCTCCCCCAGCAGGAACAGCCAGCTGTCCATCCGCACGCTGTTGGTGTCCTCATCGATCACCTCGTAGTCCCCGATGCTGTACCAGATGCACGCCAGCCAATGAGCAGCCAGCCCGAACACACAGACCAGTAACACAAGGACGGCCGCTCCGTACTCGATGTAGTGGTCCAGCTTCCTGGCGACTCGACCCAAACGCAGCAGACGGACCACTTTCAGAGAGCTGAAGAGACTGCTGATGCCCTGCAGAGGAAGAGGGAGAGGAGGAAGAAATTATAGATTGACATACTTCAAGCAGCCAAACCCTCTTAAACTGAGCAACTCAGCATTCAATATATATTAAAATGTTATATGTAGTACAATAGGCGCTTTCACACCGGAGTACTTTTCCCAGAAATAGTTCCGATAGTTCCTGGGATGTTGCGTTCACACGGGAACCTTTTCACCCCTTTCCTGGGAAGAAAAAGGTTCCAATTTCTGATTGGCTGGGCGAATTGCGAACCACGCCCTGTAAAACTTTGAAAGGCTTTTGTGAAGCCTCCATTTTATTTCCGTGCATTAGCATTATTAGCATTAGCCCAGCGCATCAACGGAGAGAGATTAATTTATGGCAACACAAAATAAAACGTGGGATCGGTGATGAGGAGGGGTCGGCGCTTCTGGCGATTTACCCGGGGCTTCAGGTGGCGATTTACTGCCACCCAAAGTCTGGCAGTATTACGTACGCCGTGAAGTTGTTTGCGGCCTGCCAGTAAACCCAAAGCAGAAGAAGAAGAAGTGACGTCAGCGGCTTCATTTGCGTAATCCTCCCTCAGGGACTTATTCCGGTGTAAACGCGATTTACTAGATAGTTCCAGGGAAATAAAAGTTCCGGGAACTATTCCTGGGAAAAGTACTTGGTGTGAAAGCGCCTATTATACACACTTTTGTTTCAACTCCTTATATTGGTATTAATCTACAGAGCTGAAGAGACTGCTGACGCCCTGCAGAGTATGATATGATATGATGATATTCGCTCTTCTTTTTCTGACTCACTTTTACTCACCGCTGGGTCACCACTAACCTCCTTTTCCCCTCTCTCTCCAAGTGAGGTTCTTACCCTCATTACCTCTGCCTGTCCTACCACCTGTCCTCTGGACCCTATCCCCTCAAACCTCCTTCAGACTATCGCTCCTGATATTCTACCGTTTCTCTCCCAATTAATCAACACTTCTCTAACTTCTGGTCACTTTCCAAACAGTCTCAAGGAGGCAAGAGTAAACTCTCTCCTAAAGAAAACCACTCTCAACCCGTCTGATGTTATAAACTACAGGCCTGTCTCTCTCCTCCTGTTCCTGTCTAAAACACTTGAATGCGCTGTCTTTAAACAACTCTCCTGTTATCTCCATCAGAACAACCTTCTGGATCCGCACCAGTCTGGTTTCAAGGCAGGTCACTCAACAGAAACTGCCCTCCTTGCTGTCTCTGAGGAACTGCACACTGCTAAAGCAGCCTCCCTCTCCTCTGTCATCATCATTCTGGACCTGTCTGCTGCATTCGACACGGTGAATCATCAGATCCTCCTTCGCACTCTCCAAGAACTTGGAGTTTCAGGCTCTGCACTTTCCCTCCTCACCTCATACCTGAAAGACCGTACCTACAGGATAACTTGGAGAGGGTCCGAGTCCGACCCTTGTCAATTAACTACAGGGGTCCCTCAGGGCTCTGTTCTTGGTCCCCTCCTCTTCTCCCTGTACACAAACTCACTCGGATCAGTCATTAGCCCGCATGGTTTTTCATACCACTGCTATGCTGACGACACCCAATTAATTCTGTCCTTTCCCCGCTCAGAGACCCAGGTCATCGCACGCATCTCTGCTTGTCAAGCGGACATCTCTCAGTGGATGTCTGCTCACCACCTCAAGCTCAACCTTGACAAGACTGAACTGCTTTTCCTTCCGGGAAAAGATTGTCCCACTCTTGACCTAACAATCAACATTGGCACCTCTATAGTTTCCCCGACTCAGACTGCAAGGAATCTGGGTGTGACCCTAGATAACAACCTGTCCTTCACTGTAAACATCGCTGCTACAACCCGCTGCTGCAGATACACGCTTTAAAACATCAGGAGGATACGTCCCCACCTGACCCAGAAAGCGACGCAGGTTCTGGCCCAGGCTATCGTCATCTCACGCCTAGACTACTGCAACTCCCTCCTGGCTGGTCTACCTGCATGTGCCATCCGAGCTCTGCAGCTCATCCAGAATGCAGCGGCTCGTCTGGTCTTCAACCTTCCTAAATGTTCCCACACCACACCGATCCTCTGCTGCCTTCACTGGCTTCCAGTAACTGCTAGAATCCACTTCAAGACAATGGTACTTGCGTACCATGCTGCGAATGGATCTGGCCCTTCCTACATCCAGGACATGGTTAAACTGTACACCCCAGCACGTGCACTCCGCTCTGCATCAGCCAAACAGCTCGCTGCACCCGCACTGCGAGGGGGACCCAAGTTCCCATCAGCAAAAACACGTGGGTTTGCTATCCTGGCTCCAAAATGGTGGAATGAGCTCCCCATTGAAATCAGGACGGCAAAAAGCTTGCACATCTTCCGGCGCAGACTGAAAACTCATCTCTTTCGACTCCACTTCGATCGATAGAATTACTAACAAAGAATTGCTAACAAAGCACTTATATACTAATAAAGGAATGGCTTATCTCAAGCCAGTTGAGTAGCACTTGAAATGTTTTAGCTCTATGAAACCTGATGTGCTTATATGATTCTGTTTTCTTCAAGTTTGTATCTTGTTGGTCGAACGCACTTATTGTAACATGTAAACATCACTGTAAAGTTATTCTCGGGCGGACGGCCCGGGGGCAAGGCAGAGACCAAGGAGGGGGGTCTCGGGCGGAAGGCCCGGGGGCAAGGCAGAGTCCAAGGTGGGGAACTCGGGCGGACGGCCCGTGGGCAAGGCAGAGTCCAAGGTGGGGAACTCAGGCGGACGGCCCGGGGGCAAGGCAGAGACCATGGAGGGGCGAAGGCCACAGCGGGCGAACTCAGTGGGCCGAGCATGAGGGCGAAGGCAGGGGCAGGAAGAGTCAGGGGGCCGGGTCCGAGGGCGAGGACCGCGGCCGGGAAAGTCAGGGGGCCGGGCTCGAGGGCGAAGACCGCGGCACTCAGGGGGCCGGCCTCGAGGGTGAAGACCACGGCTCTCAGGCGGCCGGGCTGGAGTGCGAAGACCAGACAGCTCCGGAGGCCGGGCAGGAGCCGGTGTCGACCGGACAGGAACCGGAGCCGGTGGGACAGGTGTCGGCAAGATCCCCCACGGAAGAGGACAAGGAGTTGGCAGGACCCCCGGCGAGACAGGTGATGTTGAGGCCTCCAACGAAACAGGACATGGGGTTGGCAGGGCCCCCGGTAGAAGAGTAGTCGGCGGGAACTCCAACGGGACAGGACATGGGGCTGGCAGGACCCCCGGCAGGAGAGCAGTTGGCAGGACCTCCAACGGCACAGGACATAGGGTTGGCAGGACCCCCGGCAGGAGAGTAGTCGGCGGGGCCTCCAACGGCACAGGACATAGGGTTGGCAGGACCCTCTGCAGAAGAGTAGTCGGCGGGACCCCCAACGGGACAGGACATGGAGTTGGCAGGACCCCCAGCAGAACCTCCAATGGACCAGAACATTGGGTAGGGACTTGAGAGGGGACTCGAGAGGTGACTTGAAAGGGGACTCGAGAGGGAACTCGAGAGGAGACTTGAGAGGGGACTCGAGAGGGAACTCGAGAGGAGACTTGAGAGGGGACTCGAGAGGGAACTCGAGAGGAGACTTGAGAGGGGACTTGAAAGGTGACTTGAGAGGGATCTCGAGAGGGAACTTGAGCGGAGACTCGAGAGGTGACTGAAGAAGGAACTTGAGAGGGGACTCGAGAGGATACTGGAGAGGGAACTCGAGAGGAGACTCGAGAGGTGACTTGAGAGGGAACTCGAGAGGTGACTTGAGAGGGAACTCGAGAGGTGACTTGAGAGGGAACTCGAGAGGTGACTTGTAAGGAGACTTGAGAGGGAACTCGAGAGGTGACTGGAGAGGAGACTGGAGAGGTGACTGGAGAGGGGACTCGAGAGGGAACTTGAGAGGAGACTCGAGAGGGGACAAGAGAGGGAATTCGAGAGGGGACTTGAGAGGGGACTTGAGAGGGGACTCAAGAGGGAACTGGAGAGGTGACTTGAGACGGTCGGTACGCCGACAGGACACAGGGAGCTGGAGTCGGCCGGTACGCCGACAGGACTCGGGGAGCTGGCGTCGGCTGGAGAGCCAACAGGAGACGAGGTGCTGGAGTCGGCCGGTATGTCGACAGGACACGGGGAGCTGGCGTTGGCCGGCACGCCGACAGGACACGGGGAGCTGGCGTCGGCCGGAGAGCCAGTACTGGAGCCGAAACTGGAGTCGGGACCATGGCTACTGGGGCCAGGACTGGGGCTGGAACCATGGCTGCATGGGCCGGTTCTGGAGCCGGAAACATGGCTGTGGGAACCGGAACTGAAGCCTGGATTATGGCTGTGTGGGCCGGTTCTGGAGCCGGAAACATGGCTGTAAGTTCCGTTTCTGGAGCAGGGACCATGGCTGCTGGGGCCGACACTGGAGCCGGAACCATGGCTGCTGGGCAAGGAACCGGAACACGGAACCATGGCTGTGTGGGCCGGCACTGGAGCACGGTAACATGGCTGTAAGGTCCGGTTCTGGAGCAGGGACCATGGCTGCTGGGGCCGGCACTGGAGCCGGAACCATGGCTGCTAGGACCGGTACCTGAGTACGAGCTGGCTTCCTGACCTTGCGTCTGTTAGAGGTCTTTTGGAGGCTCCGTGGACCTCTGCGTGGACCTCTGCGTGGACCTCTGCGTGAGAAAACTCTGAGAAACTCAGGCAATGAGCTTCTCAACCATGGCACGTTGTCCACCTCCATTTGTGCCTTTTTGAGGACAGCCTCTTTGTCCCTTTTAGCCGAGGTTCTACTCCATTCAGCATAATTACACTGAAGAGTGTACTCTAGGGAGAACAAGTCCAAATAAAAATAAAAATCAGCTGGGTCCATTGTTGGTCGGTTCATTCTGTTAGAATCACTGTCAAGGATTCGCGGGAAAAGGTAGGACCCAAATGCAGACTACAAAAAGGTAAAGGTTATAAACAAAAGTAAGCTTTATTTAAAAGCTGAAAAACAAAAAACATGGCATGAATCAAAAACATTGATAGTACAAGGTAGCAAGAAT